TATCATGCACTATCGATTCGGATGATGAAACGTAACTTTCGTATATCTTATTTAGAGCATCTTCTTCCTTTTGTGTTGGTATCATGCTTTGTGTTTCGATATATAAAGCTGTGTTATTACAAAATAAGCGCCGAGATATGATCACAAGATCAAGTGGAACATTTCAAGCGATTTCAGAGAAGAATTGTCTCTAACATGAACTCACCAAAGTACCGTCCTCATTAACCGTATGTGCATTCACATAGGGCCCTATAGCGAACGCGACGAGATATGTGGACATTTTGAGTGAGGGCGGAAACTGAATCACTTCCCAGCTGAAAACAGCACTGGTCATAGTTGAGCTGAATTGCGTTATAGTACATCTGTGTAAGTCCGAACAAATTCACTGCTTATACATTCTAGTTCAATGCACCATGATGAAAGGTCTCTCGAACGCTCAGTACGATCATCTATCGGAGTTCTTCACGAGCATAACGCTATACTCTATGAATTCAAGCACAATAAGGTTGCAAGGCCAACGATTTTAGTCAATATTTGTATAGATTTTGTACATCTCATCTTAACCGAACTTAAGACTCTGAAGTACGATTCTCTGCAAAATTCACCCTTCCTCAGGCCACGGTACTGCCGGTCGTTCCATCGTATTCGCCAAAGCGACCAAACCTTTCGGATAAATCAGGGTGATATGGAAGTAAGCCTTATAAGCAGGTTCGTCCAGACACGGGAATACCCATCGAGCTCTCGCTGGTTCCATATGAGTGGCTAACATGAAACTGAAAATTGGAGTGCATATGTTCAAAGTAAATGCTCTAGAATCGGTACTTCAGAGTAATTCGCTCTTATGAAGAGAAAATCAAGATGGAGAAAAATTTTCAAATTCTATTGCCTTCGTTTTAATGGCATACAGATTACGATCTATATCGATCCATTAATCTTCGCGATCGATCAGCCGATATTGATGGAAAATTCGGAATATTTCGAGATTTAGCACCTGCTTTCCTTTACACTCTCCATTTGTTGAGGGAAGAATAACTTATAGAATGTCCACCTGACATATCCATCAGTCAAAAACTTACTGAGCCGTTCCATTCGGCTTATCCAAATATGCGGTGTAATAGAGTCCGGTTTCAGTGTAGTTATGTATTTTACCATTGTATTTAAACTGCAGCATATACTTGTTCCCAACCCTGAGATTGTTGCCCGTTTGGATGATCTGCCAGAAGTTTTGATTATGACCAGTCCGAATTCATGTCTCGATTAGAATTGATCAATTTTGATCAGATTATGACTACTCATCAACTTATCTCAATTCATCAACTTTTTATCAAGACTGTCCATATCAATTGTCTGATGTTGTAATATTCCTCAATCTCAGAACTCGATAACAATCACATAGCAATGAGCGTATTCCTTACAAAACTAACTGATCACTTCGTTAAGTAATTCTGAGTAAATATTCAGAGGCTCATCTGCATCCTGATAAGCGTATGAAACTTTTCACCAATTTTTACGATTCAATAAACGCTCACAATATGATTTAAGGTCTCGTTGAATGACCAATGCGCATTGCTGATCAGCTCTTTACCGTTGTCATTCAGAAGCTTTATGTTCGAGTAGGTGAGATAAAATGAGTGTAGAGTGACTTTGTCTGTTGCATTCATAACTTTGAAAACAAACGTGCATATTCCATCGAATGTCATATTATTTTCTGGAATAGACCTCGTGAATTTTGATTAGATCCATTGTTGAGTTTGAAGCTTTTCAGGGTTTTGCATCAATCCTTATAGAGTCTCTATTTTTACAAGCACTCAGCTTTTTTATTTCTAATTGATTCACTCGAGAAGTTTTTTGCTCTGCAGATAGATGAATCATTTCAAAAAGTTAAACTGTACTGAAATACTGACGGTACTTCTGATATCGGACAGTGAACCTGTGCATAATGATAGCGTTATATTCAATCGACAACACATTTATGGATGACGGTGAGCGGTTGTTTTGTCGATCGTTCTGTGCGATCGGCAAAATGTTCGTCATTGTTGCGATGGCTTAATGGATTGTTGTTGGTATTCGGCTGGATTTAACTATGCAAATTATCTATGGCGCTCGTTATTGGTTGGTTGTGGCGTGCTTGATATGCCGATTGCTATGGATCTACTCGGTTACATTAATCGTTTATTACTGATAACGAAAGATTACTGATTCACTACTGATGGCTGTTCCAAACAACTACTCTGAACGATCGTTGGACAAGTGTTCAATCGATCAACCGGAATGTATTTTCGGGCTCTTTCTGAGTCCCTCTCCCTAGAAATAAATGGGCATATGGGAGAGTAGCCCAAAACCTCTGTACTTGCCAAATCAATAATTCAAGTTCGGATTTCATGAAGACAGATGATTCCAAACGCTATTATTGTTAGCTGCGCGGAAAGAAGAATGCCAAGGAAGGAAGAATGTGATATTAGTGATATTGGTAATAACAGAGAGGCATAAACTCGTAATGAGTTGGATTTGCTGATTAAATAAATAAATAAATAAATAAATATATTCAATCATGCTTTTGGATCGCATGCATTGTTGATTTGTTCTGATTTACGACTGCATACATACCTCTTGTAACAGGGACAACTTCATTTGGAAAATACGGCTGAATCCGAATAAAATATTCGATTGGCTCAACGATAGGTGGTATGCGACGTGCACGTTCACCCACTGACCCAGGCAAGAATGAATCATCCATGTTGTAGAGTTTATGCCCACTTTGGAATTCATCTGAATGACTCAAATTCCATCAGATCACCTTGCATTGGAAACGAAATTCAGTTGAATGTTCTAAGTCACAGTACCAACTCATTACAGGGTTAATTATTGTAACTGCCTCTCCCCTTTTCCAAAATATGTGCATTTCATTCCTTAACATCATCAACTTCAGACTCCTTATTCAATTGCGACATTCATTTCGCATGCAATACACTCAAACTTAAAGAAGCCAGCATTTCTGGTAAAACTGAATGTTTTCAACTTGTTCCATTTTCATCACCTTTGAAGAAATTCAGAATGCATAAAATTGACTTCAAGCTACGAGTGAGTAATAGATAAGTGGATGAGACGAGATTCGTTGTTGAACAATCAAGCAAAAAAGTATTTGAATGTCTTCTTTATCTCATAGTCTCATTAAGTATCAATGTCACTTTTTGTCATCGCATCAATCGCATTTACCATGCAATGGTTTTGGTGATACGATTATACTATCTTTACACACATTCCGTTTCGTTATTAATTTCAGTCTGCTATCAGATAAACACATTTGATTACACAATTAGATGAATTAAAAAACCATAGCAGTGGAATGTGCTTGGTCTTTCATTTGTGTGTCTTTAATAACGACTAAAAATAATCAAAGCTGAACATTCTCCAAAATTCGAAGTCAACACTGATATAATGGAGAATGTCGTCTCAAGATTAGTAATGAACTAATGTATATTTAAGTTGTTAACCACTTCGATAAGAATTGTGATGATTTTGAAAGATCTTTCAGTTGAAAATGATAGCAGTAATATTAATTAATAATGCAATCTGAAAAAATTTGTGCCCCCATCGTCAGTTCAGAATTTTAGGGATTAGATTGAAGACTGGATGTTCAGACGAACAAATTCAATATCTTTTATAAGTAGAGCGAGCAATCGAATCACTCGCTGCGCTATGACGTCCTATCAACATGAGGTTTCCATGGCTAACTTCTGAGGTTTCTGAAGCTTTCGAATGTTAGCTTCTACAGAATGCCCCTTCAAAATTACGCTTCAGAGCTAAACTGAACTTACAGTCGGCATTTCCGTAACGAGTTGGATCCACATCGAAAGCATCAGGCTGGAAATCATTTTGTCCACTTGTGATGCCGAGGATCAGCATGAATTGCAGCAGTAACAAGCGAGTAGATGCCATCTTCGCACGGGGCATCATACGTGATGGAACGACTAAACAATGGTAGTAATAATAATTATCATTACCAATCCCAGGTGATAACGGCAACTTTTATGGTTGCACTCACACTAAAAAAATCAAAAGTTATGTTCGAAGATATCAATTTCTCCATTCTTAATGTCATAATATTTTCATTAATGTTGTTTTGTAACCAATTTCATTGTACTGTTAACATGAATATCGTTTTTAGTAGCATTCTATTGATGTTGACATTTTTCGGGAGGGGAATTGATGCAGTTTAACTACTGAAAATAATGTGCCATTCATAACTGAGGGTCGGTTTCAGTGCAGTTTATCAGTGGTGATTTTATGATTCGTTAAATGCTTGTTCTCAACAGTGCAGACATAATTTTTAGATCATAACATGTAAAAGGAAGAGCACATCAGATTTACATTTCAGTTTTGCTTTAATCAGGAGAACAAAGAATGAGGAAGCGAAAAGTTGAAGAAAGCATAATTTTCTCACAATTTGTCAGATAGTTTTTTGCCTTGTCGGTCTTGTTTCAGTCACATAATGTTTCTGATTATCTCAAGTAGAGTGTTGATATCACTAACAACTGTTCCTTCCATGTGCTATTTCGAGTGGTTTGAACAGTCACAGTACATAAGTCGGTCCACGAGCTTGATAAAATGAACGTAATCGAATGAATCGAGACCAAAAAGCATCTGAATCAATGTCAAGTCAAGGAGTATGACATAATCACCCGATCATCTTCATGCTATATGATTCTTAAGATTAGCATTGATCAAGCAAAAAACACTCTGGTTTATTTGCTCACGTATGCTCTTAGCGTTGAAATGAAGCGGGCGAGATTATTGCTTATCTGAATCGAGTGTATTTGCCCTTCATTCCACACCTTATTTTTCACGACGACGTTAAATTAGTCGGGTGATCATTGAGACCTGAGTGACTGTGAACGGTTACTTCTCAACAATCAAAGACACAGTAAGCTGTTGGCCCTGAAGACGTCTCTTCTGCTTCAGACAACGCTGAAAACAGAATGCTGATCACTTGGCTTCTGTTATTCTCAACGATATATTCGACTGTTCTTTCGAGTGAGATTCCAATCGACGAACTGAAATGTAAGTGGTACCATTGCTTCATCTTGATTATTCACATGTTGGGCTATCGCAA